TACTTTCAAGCACTGCTGAGCTGAGCACCACTCCCAACCCAGGAAGCACAGCTCCACGGACAATGCAGGAGAAATGAAGCACTTCATACAAAGGACCTGCTCAGCACACAGGCCAGCAGCTGCCCAGCCATGCAGGAGGAGGGGGAAACAACCTTGCCTCACCTATTAAAAGAAGGCTGCCTTAGAAACTCAGCACCTCCCCTCCAGTTCCATGAACAATAGAACAAAAGAACCACCCACTCCAGAGCCAGCTCCAGCTGGAGGCTCCTCCCCTGGGCAGAGCCAAGCTGTGTCCAGAGCAGGGGCCTCAGGAAGGGAAGAGACTTAGAAAGGACAGTGGGCTCGCCAGGAAACCACCCTGACCAGCGTGTTTGGGCTGCTCATCACACACCTGGCAGCTTCAAGGTTTTCTGTGGTTGTGATACGGGGGTGAGACAGGTGATGTGAGGTCACTGAGTAGGGAGAGAGCAGGGATGCTGCCCTCTCTGGGCCCTACAGAGCCCAGCATGGCCCACTTGGGAGAACGACCACTCCAGAGCCTAGGGGGAACTGATCCTCCCACAGGTCCAAGCTCCCAGCCTAGCAGGAGGGAGCGGCTGGCCTAACGCTAAGAGGCAGCCAGTGAGAGCACCCCAGGTGGCTGCAACCCCAGCAAGGCCTCTGCTAGGACAAGTTGGCCTCTGCAGGGCTCCTGTATATTCACGCCTTTCCTCCCCACGAGGAGACCACGTGGCTGCCCTTTCCCAGAAAAGAACTGGGCCCACAGAAGGTGCCACTTGTTTGGTCTGAAAGACACCCACGTGGGTGGGCACTGCCAGCCCCGCCCTGGGGATGCTTGGCGATTCCCAGCCCTGTGGGAGCACAGGGCTGCCTGTCACCACTGCCATGCCCTCTTGCTCCCTGTCAGCTTACAGGGGAAGGAAACCCAGCCTCTCTCAGTTCTAGACTGAACCTCCAGAGGCACCAAGGACCTCAGCTCCAACAGGGAGCCTGGCCCATGCTGGGCTGAGCATTCCCAGGCTCAGGGGTCAGATGTCGGGGTGGCCTCTGGATCTCAGTTCCTCCTGTGTAAAATGGGGACACCCCCGCCCCCATCACACAGCATAGGACATAGATGCAGCCTGTCAAGCGTGTGCTATGGGAGGACCTGGGAGTCCACAGGGGCTGTGTCTGAAGGGCAAGAAGGAATAGGACACCTGCCCAGTCCTGCACTGGGCTAGGACACTATGGAAGCCACCTGCCCCGGGTTCACCCAGGCTCTCAGCACCAGCCAGCTGCTCAAAAGCTATCACTCTGTACATCTCTGCTCCAGCCTGGTCCTAGACCCACCCGTGCCCAGGAATATCCCTTTCTCACCCTTGCCTTACCAAATCCTATTTCTTCTAGAAAGTTTAGGGGACTGGACCCAAACCTGCTACTCAGCCCCTGCCCTGATATCAATGCCATCAACCAGCCCCACCCAGAACAGTTCTTGATCAGTTCCTGCTGGGTCTGTATCCCGGGCTGAGACTCTCAGAATTAGACACTGGTGGCCACTAGGGCGGAAATCTGTGTGCGTTCTGCATGGCTGTCACCCCATTACCCACCTGGCTGGACAGGACTCTCCAGATAAAAGCTCTTTGGGGGCCTGCAGACCTGGAAGGGGACAATAGCCAGGACCCTGACACTTACCCGCCCGCCCTTGCACCATGTGCCCATTCCTCTTGCCCATTGTCCCACTGAGAGAAACACCCAGGAAAGGGTTTCAGTCAGAACAGAGAGAGCCAGGCTTTGGAGGCCAGGCTGGCCCCTCCAGATCACCCAGGTAGGGCCAAACCATCAAGCAGGTCCAAGGACAGCAGCCAAGAGAGAAGACTAGGTCCTTCAGCCCTGCAGCTCAAGGTGACCACTGAGCCCTGACCCAAATTCAGCACTGGATCCTACCTGCCCTTCAACCCAGCACTCTTCACTGTCTGCCTCCTGAGCAAATCGCTGCAGCCTCCAAGCCCATGGGACTTCTAACCCCAAGTGCCACACCCTGTCCTCCCCAGGAGGGATCCCCACCTGCCTTAGCTGTCCCACTGGCTCTAGACACACACACACACCCCAACCAGGCAGTGGTGTAAACAGACACCTCTCCCCACTCAGCCTGCTTCCCCGACACAGCGCCTGGATGGGGGAGCCCGGGGATGGCTGGGCCCTGAGTGCCTATGGCTGGCCGCAAGCCACCCCGGCACCTCTTCTGCTTTCTTTCAGCACTGAGAAACCACTATGCAGGCACCGCCAGGAGTCCCCTCAGAGGCCAAACCGACATGGGTCTGTTTCCCCATCACATGCTGCAGGAACAGAAATAGACACCAAAATGCTCAGGGAGGAGCAGGGCCCAGGAACCAAGAAGAAATCAGAGTGGACGGCAGCTCCCTCCTCTGTTCAGAGGGTAGGGGACCCAGCAGAGGGAAGCTGGAAACACTCTCTCCCTGGCCTCCTAGGGGCAGTGCAGTGAGCACAGGATGGGCAGAGAAGCCCAAGCTGGGATGGGACCCCGTAGGTAGGAAGAGCCCCTACCAGAAGTAACCAGACGGGAACAGACTGCTCAGCAAAGAGAAAACATTGGGGTGACGGTAGGCGGGGGTTTCCAGGGTCCGGGGAGCCAGGAGTACGTCATGGCACCTGGGGTACACAAGACATCAAACCAAGAACCCCGAGAAATAGTCCTTTGGGAAACTAATAGACAATTTGTGGCATCAAAAGATACTGAAATTACCTTGGCAGAGGAGAAGTGACCTGAGGAACGCAACCACCTGAGCTGCAGATGAGCCAGCAGAGACACGGCTACAGAGTGGCTGGGGCAAGTGCCTGCCTAGCACGCAGGAGGCCCCATTCCATCCCCCGCATGGCACAAAAAGCAAAAATAGACATTTATGCATTAAAGCAGCAGACAGGAACCTGGAAGGTAGATGATCTTTGGCTTGTGCAGACATCACCCACGCCGCCTGTAAGCTATTAAACTAATTCAAGAAATCACCTGCTACCTGGACTAGTGGAACATGCCTGCAATCCCAGCCACTCAGGAGGCTGAGGCAGGAGGAACACAAGTCCAAGCCCAATCTGGATGACTAACTTATCAGGTTGGTGACACCCTGTCTCAAAATAAAAAATAAAGGGCTGGGGGTGGAGCCCAGTAGCAGGGCGCTTGACTCGCAGGCCAGGTCCCTGAGTTCCATCTTCAGGGTCGGAAAGGAAACAAACTGCATTCCGACAGGGTAAAAATGGGCCTCAGGAGGTGCATGTCAGTCACCAAGAAGCCCTCCTTGTGCACGGCCACTCCCACCAGCTCCTAAGGCCCACCAAAGCTGGGGCATGCTCCCTGGCTCCAACACCTTAGGCTGAGAGGGGGGTGTCTTTCCTCTTCCACCACAGTTCTTATGCTGCTCTCAATCCCCCACATCTGGCCCAAGCAGCACCAAATCAAAGGTTCGGCTGACAACTGGTCCCAGCTGCAGCTATTCTCAGCAAATTACGTGGGAACCTTAAGAAACGGAAAAACACCCAAGCATGGTGACAACATGTGTCACCCCAGCTACTTGGGAGCCTGAGATAGGAGGATGAGAAGCTGAAGGCCAGTCTGGGCATCTGGAGGTGGGGAGAGGGACGAGAGGAGGATTAGAGGCATACCTCAACACCCTTTGGGGGTCAATCACTAGGACTGCTAAACCAAAACAAACGAAACATTTGGTGGTACAGGCACATCATCCCAGCACTTGGGAGGCTGAGACAGGAGGACTCCCCGTAAGTTCAAGGCCAGTCAGGACTACATAGCAAGTTCAAGGTCAGCCTTTATTTTGCAGTAAGACCTGTCTAGAAAAAAAAGAGACAGACACTGGGAACAATTCTCTCCTTTGTGGTAAACAAAAACAGGCCTGAGCTCTCACCCTAGCAAGACTACTCCGCTTCTGAAGTCACAAGAGCCCCAGCCAAGAGTCACTGTTTGAAGGAGAACATGAGACAGAACATTTGACATCAGATTTGGAAACTTGAGATCTGTAAGACCAGGGCCTTAGCTAGACCAAGTGGTGCAGGCTTGTTATGCCAGCACCCTGGAGGCTGAGGCAGCAGTCACAAGTTTAAAGCCAGCCTGGGCTACACAGAGCAAGGCACTGTCTCAAAACAATACATAAATTAAAATAAACACAGCGTCTGGTGGAAGGGGAGAGCCACTCCCGAGGGAGAGAGGGAGTCTCAATGACACTACACTTAATTCCTCCAGGCCCGTCCTTGTGATGTCATCCTCCTTCGCTCCACTCTAAATCCTCAAGGTTCCTACCGTCTCAACCTCAAATCCCACACTTCTTGCAAGAAACCTTCTTGCGACGCTCACCGAGGCTGCCAGCCGACAGGCACCATGATAGGACAACTGTGCAGTCCAGACTGCCCGACCAGAAGTGGGATGTTCCTAGGAACACCGCGCCGTTTCAACCAAAGTGGGTTTTGACGCTTTTCCTGTCCAGGGGCGTGTGACAAGCAGCTAGATGTACAGCAGGTGCTCTTACAACTCTGGACTCAACTACTGGAGACAGCGTGGCTGCACCTGGAGGCGCGGCCCGAGAAAACATCGCAGAAATAATCGAGGGAGGACACGGGCTCTCCAGGCTGGAGAAGGCGTCCCGCGGCCGGCGCGATCGGATCGCGCCCGCTTTCCAAACCCGCTCCTCCGGCCCAGGACTCCGCGCCGCGCCTATGCCCAACCCAATCACTCCGCCCTCGCGACAAGCCCCGAAGACACGGCCTCTCGTTGTTTATATTTTACACTCTCAGAAACGGAGAGTCGGGCGGCTCCGCCATTTGCACAAGGACCGGGGGTGGGGAGGTGTGGGTCCGGGTCCCAAAGGCGCGGGGGAGGGGACGTCGCCCGGGAGCATCATAGGGAGGGCACTGGGAGGGGAACCTGGGCGCCGACCAGCCCGGAGGTGGAGTCCAGACGCTGCCCCGGAACCCAAGCCAGTCGGGCAGGCGGGCATTACCTGCTCCCGGGGGCGTCGCTCCGCCGCCGACGGGGGCTCCGGGGGCCCGGGCCCCACGGTGTCGAAAGTGGCAGTAGGGCCGCCGGCAGGGCCCCCCGGGATCCCCTGCCCAATAGGGGCAGTCGATAGCCCGGAAGAAGCCAGTGGAACGTAGCATGGTCCGTCCCGCGGCGGGACCCAGGCCCGGAGCCGCCCGGGCCCCCGGGCCCCCTCACAGGCGCCGCGGTCGCCGCTGCCCGCGCCTCACGGACCCCGCTGCCGCCATCTTGCTCCGAGGCCCCCGAGGCCCCGGGGACGCCACCGCAAGGGATTCCGGGAAGGGTTGTCCGCAGCGCGCCTGCTCTGAAACACCCGCTCCCACTTAACCCCGGTGAACAGTGGACTCACACACTAGAACAGAAAGAGAATTAGATGGCACTGAGTACCCCAGTTGTGTCCTCTAGGGCCTTCTCAGCCGGCAGTGCCTGACCCTCCGTGGCAAGAGCCGTGCCATTTTGAGCCCTACGCGCCCTGCTGAGTCGGGTCTGTCCGTGACGCGCCTGACTGAAAAAAGCCTGAGGGTGGGGCGGCTTATTTGCACTTCGTTGTCATACCGATTTAAAGGCGCCCTCTGTGGGACGCAGTGGGTCCTGGGGGCTGATGTTATTTAGGACACCCATGGGTGCCCCTTGACTACACTCGAAAATTCACCTGTCCCTAGTCAATCACTCAATCAATCAATAAAAAAAAAAAAATCACTACCTAGCCCTAGTACACAGTTGGCTCAATGAGTGCCTTAATCTTTCCAATTTTTTGTTTCCTTTTTTTTGTTTCTGTTTTTGTTCTGTTTTGTGGCACTGGGGGTGGAAAACAGTTTCCAACCCCTTTTAAAATTTTTAACTTGGAAGTCATCCTCTATAGTTCAATTTGGCCTCAAAGTTACACTCTTCCTGTCTCAGCCTCCCTTAACAGCGGAATGTCACCATGTCCTGGCAGGTGTGTGCTTCCATGCCCGCCTCTCTACAACTGTGTTCACCAGTCTAATCCCCAGGTCCACAATCACTCAATTTTTAAAATGTTATATTGAGGGCTAGGGATATAGCTCAGCAGTACAGTGCCTGCCTGGCAAGCATGAGGTCCTGAGTTCAATTCCTAGCACCACATAAATAAAATGTTATATTGACCTGGCCGTGATGGCACACACCTGTAATACCAACACTTGGGAAGCTGAGGCAGGAAGATCACTGAGAATTCATTCGAGGCCAGCCTGGGCTACAAAATGAGTTCAAAGGCAGGCTGAACTGTACAGTGAGAGCGTGTCTCAAAAGGACAAAAGAAGAAAAAAGTTATTGAGTGCCTGTATGCCACACCAGCACCTAATCATACAAAGGGGGAGAGGGTATAGATGGGGGGACACCCTGTCCCACAGGATAGACTGTTTTACCAGGAAATTAGCAGAAGGTCCTGCTGCATTCTGGGGAATTTTAAGTGCTCTGACTCCTTCGAAAATGATATAGTTGAATCTTCAAAACTGAAACTTAAGGCAGGGGTGGTGGCATGCACCTGTCATCCCAGGGGCAGGGCATTTAGCTCAGTGGCCTAAGCGCCTGCCTGGCAAGCGTGAGGTTGTAAGTTCGATCCCCAGTATTAAAAAAAAAAAAAAAAAGTTAGCCACCTGTCATCCCAGCACTCTGGGGGCTGAGGCAGCCAGACTGCCACACATTCGACTACATGAGGACACTCTGTCTCAAAACAAACAAACAAAAAACCCTGATACACAAGTAGCCCAATGTGAGGGCCCACACCTGTCATCATAACACTCTGGGATGCTGGGGCAGGAGGAGCTGCAGTTTGAACCCCGAGGGCACGGTGGTGACACCTGTAATCTCACTTAGCACTCTGGAGGCTGAGACACAACAAAAATAGCCAGGATTTTAAACCCAGCCTGCACTACATAAGGAGACCCTGTCTACAAACAACAAAACAAAGCAACCTGCTTAAATACAGTAAAGGCTGCAGCAAAGATCAGGAGGAGGTGCAGGAACTCTTTCTCGAACAAGCTCTGGAGCAGAAGATCCCCCAGGGAGGTGGTGAGGGCCCTGCGGAGGACGTGCGGAGCCACACAGGGTTGGCAGCAAGAGAAATGCTTGCTCCTTTTTATCATCCCCTTGACGTCTTTTCTCTGCAGATAACTACCCCAACAGCTGTGAAGCATCTCACTCTCCAAGCATGGAGTCTCCTCATCACCCCCACCAGGCTTCGGGGTGAAGGTCAGGATCCTGCGACCCTCCCCCCACGCCCAGCTGGATGTAAATCCACAACACAGACCTTTGTGTGGTGCTTTGGGCTTCTTTTGAGACAGGGTCTGGCAGCCATCCTCCCGCCTCAGCCTCCCAAATGCTAGGATGATGTGTGTATCACCCTGCCCAGCCCCCAGCACCGATCTGTTGAATGAACTAGTCAATGACAAATGAATTCCTCCTAAAATCAGTGAGTCTCTTAAGTCACTGGGTGGAGGAACCATACATTACTGTTTAATAGCTGAGGGGTAACGTTCGATTTTTCAGTTTCCCCACGTTGCCCAAGCTGGTCTCCAGATCTCGGGCTCAAGGGACCCTCCCGCCTCGGCCTCCCCGGTAGCCGGATGGATGCTCGGCACACAGTGAGGTGTAGACAGGTGCTACGAAGCCTCAGCTGGCCGCAGCCTGTCTTGTTCCGATCATCGTCCTGCAGTGAACCGCACCTAACCCTTTCCCCCCAAGTGAGCACCAGCATTCAGTACACCTCGGGTGGCACCACCGTGTCTAATCCCAGTTCCAGAATGTTCTACCCGTCCCCTCTCCAGCCGCTGCCCAAGTCCCCTTCCTGTCCCTGGCTTCACCTGTCCTGGGCATCTCCTGTCCCTGGCGCCCCTGCTGAGTTCTCTGGCATCTCTCAGCATGGTGTCCCCAAGGTCCTTATATGCTGTGGTGTCACAGCCGCCCTCCTGTCCTGCAGGAATACCCGTCCAGAGTGTGACTGGACCGCACTGTGTGTGTCCCCATTCATCCAAAGATGGCCGCTTGTCCTGCTCAGCTTTCAGCTGAGTTGTGATGCCGTGAACGTTGGGAGACAAGACTGCTGTGTAGCATGCAGATGCAGCAACACACACCTGTCATTCTAGTACTCGGGCAGCTGAGGCAGGAGGATCGCCAAGTTCAGTCAGTGAGAGTCTGCCTTTGCGCCAGCCGCCCTGCCTCGTGTGAACTGGTGTCTCACCAGCACTTTGTGACAACAGTCATGCTGAATGTCTTCGTGTGCCTGTTGACCATCCGGACCTCCTTCTGTAGAAAAACTATTTAGAGTGGGGGGTGTGGGCCTTAACAGGAGGGGTCAGCTTTCAGACAGACTGAATGGAGGCAGGCAGGGAGGGAGGGAGTGTCCTGAAAATCTGGCAGTACATTCCAGGCAGATGTGGCCAGTACAAAGGCCCTGGGGCAGGAGGAATCCTGGTGCAGTGCGGCAGCAGCAGCGGCAGCAGCAGCAAGCCGGCTGAATGGCTGGAGCAGTGTGAGGAGCAGACTCCTGAGGTGTGGAGGCTGGAAGAGGAAGGGCAGGTTGCAGGGAGGATTTGGGTTTGCTCTGAGGGAGGCTGTCCGGACCATGGAGGGCTGGGTCCTGACTCAGGGGCTCACAGGCGCCCTCTGTTGTCTGCTATGGGGAGGGCAGGCCGAAGGGGAAAACAGGTGAGGTGCTGCTCAGCTAACTCCCAGCCACTTGGGAGGCCGACTGCAAACTGAAACCCAGCCTGGTTAGCGCAGGGAGACGCGGTTATCAGGCCTAAAGATGCAACTCAGCCACCCAGCATGCGCAAGCCCCTGCGTTCACAGAACAGGCCTGGGGAAATGGAAATTTAAATGAAGCCGATGGGTGGGAGGCCGGGGCAGGTGGGCACAGTTCAGTGCGCACATGCAACGTTCAATGCCCGGCACTGTAAAACAAAAAATATGTAAGAGGCCGGTGTGGTGCTGCACACCGATAACCTGGAACCCCACCGGACAGGAGGCGGAGGCAGGAGGAAGGGGAGTTCAACCTGGACGATTTAGCAAGGCCCTGTCCCAAAATAATACATACAAGGGGTAGGGGTATAGCTCAGAGTGAAGGCTGGGTTCCACCGCAGTGAAGGAAAAAGCGTTGGCCAAGTGAAGGCTGGGCCCTGAGACGCTCTCAAGGCGAGACTGGGTGCCCTCAGTAAAGGTGGGTCCTGGGGTCCGCGGGAGCCTGGGGGCGCGGTGCTAGAGGCGGCCTCCAGGGGGCGGGCCAGCGCCGTACCCCAGCAGCAGGGGGTCTGTCCCACCCCCACTCAGCCAGGGCCTGGGCTGGGATCTGGGGGGTCTGCAGCCTGTCTTCCCCACTTCTGGGTTTCCCCAGCGGTGGGGGAGGGGCACGCCATGCCTGCGAGGCGTGGACGGCTGGCCGCTGCTGCAGGGTGGGTCGCAGTGGGTAACATAGAGCACCTGATTCCAGGAGGGCTAGGGGAGGAGCGCAGGTGCCCCAGGGGTTGAGGCTGCACAGAGCACGGGGTTGCTTAGGTCTCCAGGCAGGCAGGCATGGCATGGCCCTAGCCTGCTGCCTCAATTTCCCCTGGAGATTGATGACTTTGGGGCCCCCACAGGTGGGTGGAGGGGCACAGAAGCGCAGAGTCCACAGACTGGGAGCCACCCGCTTGAACAAACCAGACACAGCAGCAGGCTTTTAAAAAGGGCTTCATTAAATACGAGGAGCCCAGGCAGGGTGGGGGAGGGGCACCACCCACGGAAAGCCGTTTCCGGGGGTCCCTCCTGCCCACCCCTCAGAGGCCACATGTGGGACCGGGTCCCAGTGACCCCTGGTTCCCAGGGAGGGGGAAGAGCAGATTCGGGTCTGTCCCAACCCCTTGACAGCAGATGGGAGGACAGCACTATTCTGGGCTTCCTGGGCCCTTGAACTGCAGTCCTGACCTTTGCAGAGGGCAAACACGGGGACACGCCAGGACCAAGCAGGACATCAAGAGACACAAGGGACACGCAGCCCCAGCCCCCGCCCCACCCACGGACTAAGGCATCTCACTAACGCTGCCACGGGAGGAGGCAGGGCTGTGGGCACCGGGCCTGGCATCCCTGACAGTGGGCCCTGGAGGCCGGTGGCCCTCCGAGCCCAGCTCCAGAAGGGCACGCCCAGCCCCCTCCACCAGGCCCCAGGCCCCACAGCCTTTACCCGGGCCCCAGAGCCACCCCATCAGAGACAGGAAGACCTTGAAAGCCACTCAGATGGCCGCCGGTGGCCACCCTTCCCAGGTCTTGTGCAGGAAACCTGGGTCCCCTTCCTAGCAGGGTGCAGGGGCCCCCTACCCCAAGGAAATCCACGCCACAGCAGAAAGCCCGGACTGTGGACCCCAGCAAGTCACCCCTAAGGAACAGCTGCTTACCCCAGCCTCATGTTCAGCCCGGGATCCCCCCCGCCCCACACCCCTGAGGACTAGGGAGCAGCACCCACAGGGACCTGATGGACAAGGGGACTTGGTGCCTGAAAAAATACTCTATCCGTCCAAAAAAAAAAAAAAGCTACCCAGCAGGCTCAACAGCCAGGCCTCCTGCTCACTGCCCAGGGCCCAGAGGCCCCCTCCAGGCGCCCCGGAGGGACAGGGCTTCCAAAGCAGACAGCGACAATTCAAAAGGCCCTGCCGCGCCTGTGCCTTGGGGTCTACTGCCCAGCTTTGGGACAGGGGGACATCGCATCCACCCCAATGACCAGGAGATTCCTGTATGAGATTGTCAGTCACAGTGCCTTGAAGGCCAAAATCAGAGACCCTGCCCAGCGGGAGGAGCGGGGACGCCTGTCCAAACTCCCTCACAGTCAGTCTCTCAGTCACACGCTCACACACACAAGCACAGGCACCCGAAGGAGGCGCCTGCCCCATGCCAGCAGAGCCAGGAAAATAAATAAACCACCATTCACACCCCGTCTGCCTCCCCTGCCCACCATGGGCTCCCCAAAGCAAACCCCAAGCACTCCCCGGGGAGACCACACCAGTCCCTACCTCCCATCTCCTGGGCAGGCCTGGGGGGCTTGGCCACCCTCCCTCCCAGGGGCACCATCTGTGGATACCTGAGATTGAGTACCCGAGTAGGGGGGTGGCCAGGCGGCACCCCCCATTTCCCTGAACATCTCCAATGGCTTTTGGTGGGGTGGGGCAGGGACAGGCAGTGGCCCACAGGAACCCCTGGTCAGCTATGGCTCTGTGCAGACTTCTTCCCAACCTGGAGGGAGCAGCCTGGTGGTCCAGGGACCTCACTGGGTATGGGGCTCCCCTGGGCCACGCTCCACCCCTGAACCCCATACCTTGGGGGAAGACGGGGTGGTGGCAGTGGGGAGGGGGAGGGCTGGTCACCCAAGGTCCCCTGGGAACAGATGGGAAGAGTTGACAGTCATGGCTATTTACAGGTCGGGCCCTGAGGACCCGTCCCAGGCCACCTCCATGGGTGGTGGGGAGCCCAGGCCCAACACCGGGCCCCTCCTGTGTCTTAACAGGGATGGTAGCGGCCAGGGAGCTGGGGTCCACGTGGGTCCCCACCCAGGAAGCCCTGGAGGAGGACAAGTGGGCCCTGTTGCTGGTGGTCCTGCCGCACACCGCCGAGGTCTGGTGGGGCCGAGCCCAGGCTGGAGCCTGGGATCTTACAGGCCGGCAGGTGCAGGGCTGGGCACCGGGCTGGGGGCCGGGCTGCCCGCCTGGCTGCAGGGCAGGGAGTCGCTGGGCGAGGTGCTGCGCGGGCCGGGGCGCCTCAGCAGCTCGGGCCGGAAGCCGGGGTGGCGGCGGGCATGCTTGGTCAGATGGTCGCTGCGGGTGAAGCGCTTGGAGCAGAGCGGGCAGGGGAAGCGCTTCTCGCCCGTGTGCGTCCGGTGGTGGCGGGCCAGCTCGTCGGAGCGCGCGAATTTCTTGTCACACCCTGGCCAGTCACAGGCGAAGGGCCGTTCACCTGTACGGGAACAAACAAGCGGTCAGTGGAGGCTGAAGGACAGGGAGAGCTCCAGTTCCACCCCGAAGGGTCCCCGAGGCGCACCCAGACCTTCGTTCCGACGTCCTTTTGGGTACCAGCGTTCGACCTTTGGACCTGCGCACTGTCCTACGCTCCGGCACTTTATTTTTTCAGAGGGGAGGGGGTCCTCCCTAAGTCACTAAATTGCCCAGGCTGAGTTCCACTTGCAATCCTCCGGCCTCGGCCTCCCAGAGGACTGGAATGACGGGTGCACATGACTTCCGTTTAGAGGCCTTTTTTTTTAAGAGATCAAATTCTGCGTGTGAATTTGAAAAACCAGCAAGCGGGGCTCGGGGAGGATGCTTGCATGGGAACCGGGTTTGCCTCACAAAATTGTAAAAGAGAAAGTAAATCACAACCAGAGCAGCGGGCGTGCTGGCGCACACCCGGAACCCAGCACTTGGGGAGCCTGAGGCAGGAGGGCGGCGGTGAGTCCAGCCAGCCTGAGCTAAGAGTCAGATGCTGCCTCAAAAGAGAAAACTAAAAATTAAGACAAAAACAAAAACTAACTGCAAACACTTCCCCCTTTTGTCCTTCGGAGTTGGAGTCAGGCGTGCCTGAACCATTTCTTTGCGCCAATGCTAAAATGTGGGGACACTGGAGGCCGTGAGGACCCCAGCCCCTCCCCATCCCGTTATCCAAATGGGACTTCTTACAGGAGGGAGGGCTCCCTAGCTTCAATGTGAGGTACATCTTTAAACCCAGCACTGCGGGCATAAGGTGGCATTCACTTGAGATTCCAGCTCTGGGGAGGCTGAGGCAGGAGGATCACTGAGAGCTCCAGGCCAGCTTGGGCTCCATAGTGAGTTCAAGTCCAGCCTGAACTAGATAGACAGACCCTGTCTCAGACACAAAAACCAAAAAACCAGCTGAGGTAGGAGGGGTGGGCCTCAGGGCTCCGGTAAGGGCGGGAGCCTGGCACCCAGGGGCAGCAGGTCTCCCTGAGGCCCAGGGCAGGCAGGGCCAGCAGCAAGCCAGCAACTTCCTCTGAGAATCCTTCCCACGGTCCCGCCCATCCTCTGCACCCCCAAACCCACGCTCAGCCACCTTCTCTGCACCTTCCCCCCTCCGCACTTTGCTACAGAACTGGTCCCAAGGCCCCGCATGGTGACTCCAGGATTCCCATCCTCCCCGCCAGCCAGGGGTCTTGAGGTGGGGGCAGGGGGAAAAGTGTGGACACGTGTTCCAGGGAGTTCACACTTGTGCACAAGGTCGCTGTTCACATCTGGTGGAGATGCTAAGAAGAAAGCAGGATCTGGTCCCTAGTGGCCCCAAGGCCTAGCCTCAGGGGACCCACAGGGAGGCCAGCGTGGAGGTCAGCTCATGCGGGCTGAGCCAGGGAACGAGACCACTGATGGGAGACAGATACTGAGAGGGATCCAGGTAAAAGGACGTGAGAGAAGTCAGGGGCGGTCCCAGGCAGGAGTCACCCCCAGGCGTGCGCGCAGGCAAGGAGGTGACCAGAAGCCGGAGGGGACACATGTGGCAAGAGAGGCCAGAGCAGTGCAGGGATCCCTGGGGGAGGGGAAGTGGGCGGGCCAAGGCTCCCAGGGGCACGTGCTGCCACCTGCCTCCCCCACAACAGACAGCAGACGCCCCGCCCAAGGCAGCGTGGGGGAGGGGTGCTCACACACACACACACACACACAGCTGCCCGAGGCTGGGACCCCAGGCAGAGGGGACCTGGTGCCGCCTACCGGAGTGAGGAAGGGCAGTAACTGTTGCCAAGGCCACCGGCCCCCCCCAGCCCAGGTGTCCCCTAAACAATACAGGAAGCAGGCTTGGCACCTGCTAGGCACCGCCTGTGTGGCGTTCCTTTTTCCTCTCTCCCAGCCCTCCTGTTAGGAAAGTGGTCCCTACCATCCTCCTGACCCAGACTCTCAAAATGCTGGGATCACAGGGTGCGTATGACCATGCCCAGCTACACAGGGAAGCTTGGGACCTCCACTGCCGTGCTGACCACAGACCTGACAGCGCCAGGGGGCTCAGTCTGGGGGAGACAGGAGACTGGTCATGGGGGCGACCGTGCAGCCTGGTCACCATCTTGCGGGGCGGCACCCGGGAGGTGGAGGCCAGAGCTAGCTAGTCACCCCGCGGCCGGTTTCCCCAGCAGCTGCCTCACTTCCTCTTTCAGGGTAGCGGGGCTGCCCCCCCACCCCGCCCAGCCCCCCGCCGCGCAGTTCCACTTTGCCGTGAGCAGGGTAGAGGGGCGCAGCCACTGGGAACACAGCTGCGCACCTAGCTCGGTGGCAGCGGAGGAGCAGAGGCCCCAGCCAACCCCGCTCACATGGCCCTGCTCCAGCCAGGAGCCAGAGCCGCGGGCTCCATGCAGCAGAGGCGAGGGTCGCCTAGCTGGCCTGGGTGCCTGCCCGTCGCGGCCTCCAGCGCGGCAGCTGGGGTGTGCACATGTGCACGTGGGTGGTGGTAACGGGGTGCACAGCTTCCCGCCCCCACGATACTGGCAGCGTGCCCATGGAATGCCTGGCTGGGTCCTGCCACAATCTCCCCAGATCCACGCACACACGGGTGTGGGGGGTGCTGCGTTAACTTGGGGGGCACAAACAGGGTGTCCCGGGGCTAAGCCCCCAGGGAACACTCCCTCCCCTGCCACCCTCGATCCCCTGAGCACAGCCACCCCGCCTCTCCAAGCTACCTGCCTGCAGCATGGGGCAGGCGGAGGATGTGGCGGGTGGGGACCACGCAGGAAGGGCACTGTGGGCGGAGCCATGGTGGACTTGACCCTCTGACTCGGGCGGGGCCCGGGTGAGCTGGGGACAGCAGCCGGGGCGGCCTCGGTGCCAAGCCGGCTCAGAAAAATGGAGGGCAAGTCGTCCTGGAAAACTGTTCCAGGCCAGGAGCCACCGCCAGAGGGGGACCTGGAGGCAGGACGCGCCAGGCCGCGCGCAGTGTGTCTCTATGGGCCCGAGGGCCGGGACCAAGGACCCCGGGTTTAGGGGTCTAGCAGCACAGCCTGGCTTCCCAAGGCGTGGGGCCAGGTGCCCACGCTTGCATAAACGCCCAGCCATCGGGAAAGGCGGGCTCCGTGGGGGAGGGGATAGGGGCCTCTGGCTCCTCGTGCATCCCCAGGCTTCCTCTTTAGTTAGCCTGTGAGGCCCTTCAGCAAACCTGAAGTCAGAGGGGTCCCTGGCTGGGGGCGGGGGTCCTCAATCCCTCATGCCACTTGAGCCACGTGCCTGCTAAGTGTCGGCATCTTTATAATCCACGCTGACACCACCCCTGCTACACCCCCAGTTCTGGCCTGGGCCACCAGCAGCTTCCCAGAGCTCCGCCCTGCCCAGGGTCCAAACTGAAGTCCCCTCCCAACCCTACCTCGGTTTCTGCTGAGGGGTGCCTCAGCACAGTAGTCTCCAGAGTGTGACGGTGACGCCCACTTCCCATCCTTCATGGCCTTGCTTTGCACCCTGTTTGCACCTGAAGCAGAGGGTAGGTGCTAGACACACAGCCAGAACCCCTCCTGGGGTCGAGGGGCAGGTCTAGGGGACCCACCGCATGGCTTCACGCAGGAGGGAGTGGCAGATGCACCCGCGTGCCCAGGCACAGCACTCTTGTTCTTCCTGAACAGCCCAGGCAGCCAGGCTGCTTCCCACCCACCCACATGGGCACCTTCCCCTTGGGGCTCCTCTGAGGGGCATGTGGGGGACACCTCCAGACCAGGGTCCCCACCCAGCCGCCCTGCCCTCTCTCCCCAGCACCCTGGCTGGTATCACTCACCAACTCCCAACCCATCTGGGCCACCTTTATCAGGAAGCCTGGGTGGGGGGTAGTTATCACCCCCTGCAGTGTTGGGGGCCTCCCCCTCCCCCCTGGCTACGATCTTGCAGACAGTCTCAGCTACTGTCCTTGGAGGAAGGGGCTGGGCACTGCCCACCTGACCCCACCGGAGCTCAGGGCTCTGGCTGAGATGCAGGCGGCAATGCTGGGCTGGGTAAGAAGGTGCTTCCGGCTCGGCTCGGGGCCTACCGTCTCCATTTGCCCCACCCTCTTCAGCCAAGGGTCTAACCACCATCCTGCCTACTCCAAGGGCTGTCAGAGGGGAAATCGGGGCACCTCTCTCCTCCCAGACGGCACTCCACCCTCAACCCCTCTCCCACTCTAATCCTGGCTCCATAAACGGATTTTCCCCTGCAAAGCCCAGCCTGCCTTGGTCCCGCCCTGGGGATTAAACTCAGCCCTTCACCTTGCCCGATCCCACGCCCCTGCAAATCTCTCCTGGGGACGCACCATTCCCTGGCCCACCGGAGGGCTCTTCCTCTGAACCTCTGAGCCAGCCAGCCTCCTCCACCGGTCACACCTGTGGCACCTTCTGCCTGCCACCTTCAATGGTTCTGCACACAAGCCATTGGGCTGAAGTCACCACTGGCCATGCCCGCCCAGCAGAGCACCACGACTGCTTCTTAAATAAATAACATTTTTAAAGAATGGCTTAACTGGGGGAAGGAGGTGGCCCTGCAATGGCCCCCCAGCCCCAGACACTGAGTGACATCTGGGGACCACTGTGGTTGTCACACTGGGGGTGCTGCTGTCCTGGAGCGGGTGCAGGCCAAGGGCACTGCTCAGCATCCTGCAGTGCGAGGACGATCACCCCCACAGGAAGATGTGACCCCAAGAAGTCTGAGAAGGGGCCTGGGGTTATCAGAGCTCTCCCAGGTCTGACTGCTATCTCTGGGGAGGGGGCCACACACACACACCCCTCCCCTGGAGTCACAGAACTGATTGTGCCTGGTACTAGGGGACCAGGAGCCTTGGGAGGGGGGTGGAGGAGGTACCAGGACTCAGGAGCAAGGAGTCGACAGGCAGCCTCTCCTCCCGCCCCCGCCCCGACACGTTGCTGGCTCTCTCTGTATCCATGGCAACCGCGTCAACATCTCCCACAGCTTCCAAAGTCCTTCCCCGCCTCACACAGGGGGGCTCTTGGAGGGGCTGGGGGAGCTTAGCAAGCCACACTCACCTCCTGCACCCAGATCCCCCGGTGAAAACATCCCATGCACCCTTCCAGGTTCCTCACACCCCCAGGGCCAAATAGAGCAGAGGTAACGGGGTACAAAGCTTTAGCCCACCTGACTGCAGCTGCATGCCTCAGTTTACTCATGTGTCCAAGGGACCAAACCCAGACTGCTCTTCCCGGAGCACCGAGTCCCCAGGCAAAGGTGGGTGGGATAGGATTTTCTCTCCCAATCTGTGGCCTCCGTTGTGTTCCTGCAGACAGTGGGTGACCAAGATGCATGCCTAACTACCCTTCGATGCCTCCAGCAGGACTAGGGCCTCTGTGCCACCTTTCCTTCCTCTGGGAGCTAGAAGAACCAAGAAGCCCCCTCCAGTGAAAGCAGTCCCTCCTGCTTACTGCTCAGGGGCCCCAAAGCCGAGGACCCTGGCTGAGGACTGTGTTTCAGGACTGCCCTCCTGGTCCTCAAGCAGGTCTTTCAGTTGGGGGCTCTGGACAAGCCTTCCACAGCCTCCTGTGGGTGAGGCCCCAGGACCTCCCCTCACAGGCAGGGAAACAGAGTACTGGGCTGCCAGCCACGCTCACCTCACCCCTCCCGGGGTCTCAGCGCCCCTGGAGGGGGTGACCATGGGGACACCCCAGGATCTAACTCAAACTGCCCTGCCTTCTCAGGCGTGGAGGGAAGCATACCATGGCCTGGCCTCCTCCTCCTCCCCACCCAAGAAGTCGGAGAGCCTTTGAGAAAAGCCAAACCAGACCAAGGCGGTGGGAATCAAAAGCACCTTGGGAGGGCAGGAAGGACCCAGGGGAGCCAAGAATGTGAAAGCCGGGTTCCTCTCTCAACAGGTTCCTTTGTGACCCAATTGCTGTTTGAACCAACAGATTCACCCAGAATGAGCTAAGTACAGGGCACCCCAGACCGCAGCCTGCAGGAGCACCTCTCCGTCCCCCCAAATTCCTTCCCATCTTCCCAGACCCTACCCTCCAGCACCCCTGCCGCAGATCGAGCACACTCAAGGACCTCTGGGCAGAGGATGGGGGTCCCACCTGTCCAGCCCTTCCTCGGGCTTGCAGGAGGACGGGCAGGGGGCAGGAGAGTGCGGAGGGTGAAAGGGGCTCTCCAAGCCCACTGCCCCAGGACAGAACCTTGGTCACCACCCTAACTGGTGCTGCCAGGGGGTGCTGCACCCTCTGCTTCCCTGCACCCTCTCCCCGGGTGCCCAGATAAAAACCCCTGAACCAAACTCCTCTGTCAATAGTGTTAGCCAGAACAATCCCCACAACGACCCTAAAAAACAGAACACAACCTCAGGCACTTCACAGAAATGAGAAATGGGGCCTGGGGCAGATAAGTCCGCAGCTAAAAGGCGGCAGGGCCAGAATGTCCCTCTCGCCTCTTGTTCACAAATCTCCATCCCTGCTGTCCAGAAGGGGCAGGGAAAACCCAGGCCGACCATGGAAGCCCACCTTCCCGTCACCCACTCCAACTCCCAGCCTGGATGGGGTGATCTGTAGGGGCCAGCGGGAAGGGCTGGCCGCCAACACAAGGCCGGCAGGCACCTAGTACGAGCCGCCCGGGAACCACTGAGTGGCCGGATCTCTGCCCACTTCGAGCCTGCGCGTCTCTTCGAGGATATAGGGAGACAGCAGACACGCCGGGGACCCCGACTGCAATGGCCCTGAAACTCGAAATTCAGGCCCCAACGCGCACTCCGGACCGCACCCTCCACCTCGTTAAAATAGAACGGAAAGAAAACGTGCCGGGCACCCCCCACATCCTGGCCCTGCGCCAGGCGCTCAGCCGCCATCCGGAGAGAATCCGAACGGCCTCCCGGGAGGAGGCAACGCCGAGATCTCCACCCTTTTCGCAGATAAGGACACTGAGGCTGGGGGCAGGCTGGAAAAAAAATCCCCTAGAGTGGTGAACCCTAAACATCCCAACTGATAGCCCCGACCGGAACCCAGAGAATGAGGAACGAGAAGCCAGAATCACGGGGCGGCCTGCCAAGCATAACATCGCGCCCGGAGCCCGGTTCCGCCGGAGCCCCTCCGCGGGCCGCCCGACCGCGTGGCCGCCACGCCCCCTGGCGCGCGCCCCACCCACCGAGGCTCCGCCCGCCCGGCGGCGCGGAGGACCCGGGCGCGCCCCCCTCCCCGCCCCCCACGCGCCACGCAGTTTCGGGGTCCCAGCGGGGGAGGGGGTCCATAAGGACGCCCCCGCACGTCCGCAGATCGCGACCCAGCTCACCTGTGTGAGTCCGCAGGTGCGACTTTAGGTGCGAGGATTTGTAGTAGGCTTTGGCGCACCCCGGGAAGGGACAGCGGTGACTCTTGGCGGCGGCATTGGCGGGGGCGCGGCCAGAGGTCGGAGAGGAGGCGGCCGAGGAGGAGGAGGCCGGCGAGGCGCCCCCTGGGGCGGCTCCCGGCCCGCCCCGCAGGTCGGCCAGGATGCTGGCTGCCAGCAGGTGGGGCGCGGCGGCGGAGGCGCCACTCGGGCTCGGGCCAGAGGGAGCAGCGGGGGGCGGCGGAGGTGGCCCCGGGATGCCGGGCGAGGCGGGTTCACGGCGCGCCGCGCGCACCTCCAGGCTGGCCGAGGGGCCCGCGCCCTCGGGGCTGGCCCGCCCGCGGTGCACCACGGCACCCGAGGAGATGGCCATGAGGACGTCGGCGGCGAAGTAATCCACGCAGGCCACAGCCGCCGACATGCCGGTTTCGGGCCCACGGCGAGGGCGCAGCGTGTGGAGCGGAGGCAGCGGGAGCAATGTCCCTCCGGCCGGCGGCGGCTGCTCGAGTGCGGGGGGAGGAGGAGGAGGCCCGGCGCGCGCCGCCGCCCGCCGCCCGCGCTCGGCCCGCCCCGCCCCGCCTGACGCGCCCTTGACGCACCGGAGCCCGCGGGGGCGGCCGCGGCCAGCCCCGCCCGGAGGACGCCCCCTCGGGGCGCCAAGGCCACGCCCCCCGATGGCGCGCCCTCCACCACCCTAGTTGCCGCGCGCGCGGGCATAGGGGGCGGGGCTGGGACCGGGAAGCCCGCCCCGCGACGCACCCCTCTTGCACCGGACAGCGCCGGAGTCCCCCACTCCTCGCGCGGTCTCTCTACGCTAGGTCTCCAGGCCTCAGAGCCCCGCTCCGTCCTGGCGTGCGCCCCGTACTCTTCCCAGAGCACCCTCTCTACAGGTTTGAGCGCTCGACTTGCGAGCCCCGCCCACACCCTGGCACGCCCCTCTCCAGAGCGCGCCCCACCTCGTCCCCAAACGCCCCTCCCTGCGGGGCGCACCACGCCTTCTTTGGCGCGCGCCCCGCCTCCGCCGGCGCGCCCACCCCACGCTGAGGCGCGCGGCCGGCAGGAGCCCGCCCCCTCCCCGGATGCCTCCACCTTGGCCCCGGGCGCGTCCCCGGTCTGGATAGGGGAGGGGGCAGGGTTTAAATCCGCACGTGGCCCGGGTGGGGGTGCCAAGCGGCCGGCCCCGCCCCCAGGCCACGTGCGCGACCCTTCCCCCCCCTTCTTTCCCGGCCTGGGGCCGCTGGGGCCCCTGCTTTGTGTACCCCGCCGCCTCTCGCCCATTCTCTGGGCTCCACGCTCGCCAGTCCCGGCGCCTCGCAAGACCTCCCGGTCTAGGTACTGGGCGTCCCGCGGCAGAGCTGCCGAAGGTGGTGCACCCCGCCCCTCCCAGCCCGGCCTGCGCTGGTTCCTCTTTCGGCGCCCGTTCCGGAGTTACTCGTGCGCGGCCCGCTGGAGCCCGATAGGGCCCCGATCAGGTTAGAGGAGGAGGCGGTGAGGGCGCGCAAAAAGGGTGAGGCAAGGGACCCCCCCAAGCAGTTAAGACACCGCGGTCCCGGCGACGCTTCCCCGGCCCAAGCTAGGATCCTTCAACTGGGACGGGGAAACCGAGCTCAGCTTGTGGCGCCTCTGGAAGTCCCCCAACGACGTCTGCGCCAGGTTACTTAAGAGTGGCGAGGTCACTGTGCACCCACATCACCAGGGACCCCCAAACTCGCAGGCGGCATCGGGCTCTCGGAAGTGGGCGATCAGGCTCCCGCCCCTTCCCAGTCCGGCCGGGCGGTGGAGACCTGCAGTGGCCCGTAGAGCCTCTAGGGGGCGAAGCTGTCGCGGCGTGTGCTGCTCGGTTTGCGAACCAAGCCCTGGGCAGCGGGGACACGCGGCCTGCCCGGCCAGTCGCCATCCTCTATCGCCCTCTCCACACATGCTCCGGCAGCTACCTAAATGGGGCCGTTTTTGCCCTCAGGTTGGCCACTGTCCCCCGAGTGCCCCCACCCTAAAGTACTTCAGCCTCCCAGGAGATTGAGATTGAGCTCTCCCAGGTGCAAGCGATTAGCAGTAGCTGGGCTGGGCAGAAGACCAAAGTCTGGCCTTGCCCTGGAGGACCCTGTCTCCTTTAGGCCCCCTCATCTCATGGACACCCAGGCCTCTTGCATCTTTTAATACTTGAGATGCAGGGATGGCACCCCAGGCCTCTGCGCCGAGCTACACCTTTTATACATCTTATTTTTTGAGAAGGGTCTTGCTGAATTGCCCGGGGTGGGCTTGCACTTGAGGTCCTCCCGCCTCTTGGGCTTGCAGCCTGCCATGGGGCTGGGGTTACAGGTTTGAGCCACAGTAATGGCTCCGAGAGTGCAGTTTTATTCCTGTCTCTTTTCTGGTCTTGTGGGTCCCCTCTCCCCAGCTCCAGGCCTGCCACACGTGCTGGAGGCAGGAGGCAGTCAGGACGCTTCAGTCCTTCTGCAGATGTTTGTGTGGGCCTGGCCTCCAGGGGCTCACAGTGTCCACCAAGACAGCAGTCACGTTGAAGAGGTGGGGCCACCTGGGGCTACAAGATGCCTTTGGCCCATAGCCATGCTGCTGGGGCAGGAAGAAACCCCAGGCCATCATCCATGAGAATGTCACCAAGAGAACAGTCACAAAGAAGTGGCACCATGCTGGTGGGGACCTAGGGCCCCAGGGTTGGGCTGGGTCAAGGCAGGTGCCGGTTTGCACACCCTGATGGACACCCCCTTTGTGGGCCTCTTAAGTCTCCACTTCCAGTCATCGTCGTTGTGGTCACCTTTGGCCTTTACTTGTGAGCCATCCTTCCCGCTCAGCAGACCCCCATGACCACCTTGGACCCCGCCACACTCTTGCCTAAGCTTTTTGACCCTCTCCTCACAAGCCTTTAAGAATTGTCACCCCATTTTACAGATCAAGAAATGGAGGCTGGAATATGGAGAAATGGCACATCTGTGCTGTTAGGTTAAAAAAAAAAAAGTGGGGGAATTTGGGGTAAGTGCAGGGTACTGCATTCTGCCTCCCTAGTTCCTGAAGCCCCCGCCCCTGTTTCACCAGTAGAGGTCCCCTTTCCCTTCTCTTACACCTCACCCCCACCTCACAAGGCTCAGAAGTGGCTTCTCAAAGCCAGGCAGGGGACGGGTGGCAGCTGAATACCACTGGCAGAGACTGCCAGGACTTCTCTGCCTCAGGGGGGTTCAGGCAAGGATGGAGGTTACATAAAATGGGGTACAACTTCCACAGATACCCCAGGATCTGCCCGGCCGACACAGTGCTGCCCACAGGTGGCTTCCCGAGGAAACCGAGGGTAAGGGGAGGATGGTGAAATGTCTGTGGGAACCTGGGAACCCCACCTGCACCAGGTAACCAAGGCCAACGTCCCACGTGACATAGTGTGGGTCTCAGGTACCCCGAGACGGTGGGAGAGATGGTGTTTCTCCAGAGGCTCCTCACCCAAGCCCAGGTTGGGGAGTCTGTTTTGTGGCACTGGGGATGGAACCCAAGGTCTCCACACTGAGCTACATCCCCAGCCCTTTTCTTCAAATTTGAGACAGCTCTTCGCTGAGTTTGCTCAGGCTGGACTCCAGCTTGCCCTCCACCTGCCTCAGCCTCCCAGAGTGGTGAGTTTACCGGTATGGGCCACCAAGCCTGGCCAGACGAGGGGACATTTGATAAAACATGGGCAGTCCTCAGGGAGATGGGAAGGTCATGAGAGAGCAGGAAAGTCTTCAGCCTCAAGAACCATCACAAGTTTTTTTTTTTTTTTTTTTTTTTTTCTTTTTTTTTTTTTTTTTCTTTTTGCTTTTTATCAGTACCAGGGATCGAACTCACGACTGCCTGCTTACAAGGCAGGCGCTTATGCTGCTGAGCTCAATCCCCAGCCCCAAGTATTAAATTTTTGGTGGGGGAATGGGTTAGTTTTATGAGATAGGGTCTCACTAAATTGCCCAAGATGGCATAAAACTTGGGATCTTCCTGCCCCAGCCTCCCACGTGTGAGGCTGACAGGCCGAAAAGGACCATAATGTGGAACACAAGCCTACAAGAGCAGAATAGCCTTGGTGTACAAGCATTTGGGGCTGATGTCTGCTATGGGGACCCCAAGGTACCCCTGTCAATTTCTCAGACTCAAATTATACCAAAACAAAAATGAAAACCCGGCAGGAATCATGAACCAGAGTCATTTAATCACAGCACGGTGAAGCAGCAGCTCACACCACAGCAGGCCTCCAGTTCCTTCCGCCTTCCACTTCTGGTCCGCAGGTGGGTCTCGCCTTGCAGCTCAGGCTGGCCTTGAGCTCCCAATCCTGTCTCCGCCTCCTCAAGAGCTGATGGCCAGGCTGTGCCAAGGCACCTGTCTTTTTGTTTGTTGCCTTTGAGCACAGCTTATCAAAGTGTCAAAGATGTCCTGAGCCGACACGGCTCTGTATGCACAACCGGGACAGAAGAGAGGCTGATGGGACCACAGCAACCATCACCCGAACGCAGGGCCAGGGCCATGTGGCTGCTGGAGGCACAGCAGAGCCTTCCAGAAAGACAGACACGTGGGACGTGAGGGGCACTCCTGGGGTCTGCGGTGTCCCCCTTGACTGGGGCACCGGGGATCTGTTCACCTGTGCAAATATCCACAGGCCTCTGCAGACAGAGCCTCCAGCCCCCCGTCCTCTTGCCTCAGTTTCCAAAGAGCTAGAAATTTTATGGCCAGTCGGGCTCCCCTATACTGAGCTGCCACAGGGCCCTCCTTGGGGTTCTCCTGGACTCCCGCGCTCCTGTCTGCGCCTGCTCAGGGAGTGCTGGGCAGTGCGAACTCCAAAGGGGCCAGGCCAGTGGCGCCCAACTCACAGACCCACATCACTCTTACTGCTGAGCCACCTGTTTGTGCCGGCGAGGGTCTCCACAGCTTGTCCTGTCTTACTTACTTTCTTTCTGGCACTGAGGATTGAGCCCAGGGCCTCTGCCCTGTGCTACACCCCCAGCTGTCTTTGTTTCTTGAGACGGAATCTCTTGACTCACTCAGCTGCCCTGTTCTGTTTGCGGTCCTCCTGCCTCTGCCTCTCAGGGTGCTGGGCGGAGGCAGGGCATCACCACCAGCTTGGTCTTTACAAGACGCTGACGCTGACAGAAAGGAGGGCTGGCCCTTGCATGTGGGCCACTCAAATCTCCAAGAGCAGGTGAGGCAGGACCACTGGGGCAGACTTGGTCCCCTTGGGACTCTGGGTACCATACCATGGGGGGCCACAAGACTCAAACAGCTGGAGGACCAAGGAACATGGAGCTGCTGTCTGTTCTACAATGCCCCTTGGTTAAGTGACGGGTAAGGCCAGGCCTTGCACGTCCCGGGAACAACAGAATGTCAAACTGGAAGTCACTTCTCCTGGCACAGGCCAGGGGCCATGCCTTGTGGGACGGGGTGCCCCAGGGGACAGACACAGGGTGGGCAGGGCCCATGCACATGGAGTCCCTGCAGAAGAGTCACTGTGTACACTACACCTGTGAGCACTGCCAAGGAGTAGCGCAGGGTTCTCCCCAGAACCCCAAAACCACGATGGGTGTTCTGAACACACACAGCTCGTCAGGAGAGGGAGATTCAGATCCTCTTCTCACAGAAATTAAAGCCCAACACAGGAGTTATGGTTATTAATTTGAAAAAGCCAGTTTTGAGCCTGGCGTGATAGTGCGCCTCAGTATTCCCAGCACTTGGAAGGCTGAGGCAGGAGGACCACCATGAGCTGGGCCTGCCTGGGCTACACAGTGAGCTCAAGCCACCCTGGTCCTCATGAGTTCCTATCTCAAAAAAATAAAATGTGAATTTCATCTTGCAATTTCATCTATAAATCAAAGCAACTCCCATTTTCCCCCTTTTTGTGGTTGGCTTTTTTGAGAGAAGACCGCATTACATAATCCAAGCCTAGCCTTGGACTATGCTGTCCAGGCTGAGTTTAAACTTCCAAGGATGCTCCTGCCTCAGCCTCCTGAGTGTTTGGGATCACAGCTGCCCACCACCATACCCAGCTAATCCCCATTTCTTCAACAAACAAGATCAGGGATGGGGAAGGAGATAAAGTTTCTTGATGTTCATGAGAAAAAAAGTTGAATTGGGCATGGTAGCACACACCTGAAATCCCAGCACTTGGAGGCTGAGGCAGGAGGATTACAAGCCTTGGCTACATAGTGAGTTCAAAGCCATTTTAAACTATCGGTGAGACCCTGATCTTTAAAAAAAAAAAAAAAAAAAAAAATGCCAGGCATGGTGGGAAACGGTAATCCCAACATTTTGGGAGGATGAGGCAGGAGGATGTCAAATTCGAGTATAGCCTGGGCAACTTAGCAATTTAGTGTGACCCTGTCTCAAAAATAAAAACAACTGGTGGTATGCATCAGTGTGAGGGCCATTCCCAGTCACACACACACACACACACACAGATTGTCACAGCCATTAAAACAGGATGAGCTGCCGGGCATGGTGGCTCATGCCTGTAATCCCAACACTCGGGAGGCTGAGGCAGGAGGATTGTGTCAAGTTTGATCCTGGACTACAAATCGAGCTCAGCTCAAGGCCAGTTTAAACTGCATAATGAGACCTTGTCTCGAAAAGATGAAGAAAAAAAAGATGAGTCCATTCTATGTTCATCTTTTGCCAAAACAGCTCTTAGAAAGTGGCTGGCCTTTCGAAGGAATATATATATATATATATATATATATATATATATATATATATATATATGCATAAACATTTCTTCATGGGCACTTAGGAAACCGGTTTATCTCCGCTTCAGGGGAAAACTGAGCTTGTGGGGGAAGAAACGCGCACTCCCAGCCTCTGCAGTGGGGACTGAATCCCAGATTTCTGCACTGAGCTACATCCGCAGCCTCCTCCTAAAATGTATTTCGAGTCAGGGTCGGGCCAAGTCACTAAGCTGCCAGGCTGCGCTCAAACTTTCCGTTCTCTTGCCTCGGCGTCCTGAACTGCTGGAATTACAGGTTTGTGCCAACATCTGGCTAGGTAGGAACACTTTAAGATTACGCCCAAATACTCCTGACTCCTTCAATGTTTTTTACGTGTGTACCTGAAACCCCCGTCTAATGTAAACTGTTGACGTCGCAGCACCGAAAGCAGCCCAGTCCCCGCCCAAAGGCAGAGCAGGTTTTAATGGTGGCAGAGACAACATTCTAGGTGACCAGCGCTGCAGTAGGGGTCACAGGGCCACCCAGCAGGGGGACAAGATGGGGGTGGGGAGTCGGGGTAGAAACACTGCAGCCGGCAACCTAGACAGAGCAGACGCATCAGCAAAGGGCAGCCGCGCTGGGGCCATAGCACAAACACGGGACGGAGGACGCTGCAGTCTGTGCAAAGACAGTGGAGCTGGCGAGAGAGGGGACATGGACGCTCCCTAATTCACCACGGCTGCCTTCCACAAGCTCCTGGCCTCACAAGTGACCCCGGACTCGCAGCTGGCGCCTCCACCGCGCGCGGACGCTTTCCCGAGCAGACACAACGGGACACGGACGGAAGGACGAGTGCAGCGACAGGACCGTGATACGCGCCGACGAGGAAGTCACGGAAGCAGCCGGGGGCCGGCCTGGGCGGGTACCTGGCTGAGTCTGAGCCGTCACCACTCACCGCCGACCCACCGCCGCCTCCACGGACCACCGGCCGCCTCCACTTCCGGGCTCGCAGACGTCACTTCCGCCCGGCCCCACGTGCTCCGCAGACCCGCGGTAGCCACGCCCCCTCGCTTCCCCCGCCCCGACTGAAGCCCCACCCTCCCTTAAAGAGGACCAACCACGCCTTGGTAGAGGCCGCTGGGAACCTAACCCTGCTGTGGCCTAGGCAGGAGGACAGGGCCTGTCCTGCTCAAGAGCTCCTGCCACGGAGGTCACAGAGCTCTCTAGGTACTGTGGCCTGGGGAGGCCCGGATGCCGCAGCTCAAAGGCCTTGAGTCCTTGAATGGGACAAGGACAGAACTGGGTCTTAGACAGAAGTCCTCCCCAGACCCAGCCCGGGGGACCTCATCCACCTGCCGGCTCCCCTCCAGCTGGCTTGCAGAGGCATCTGCCTGACCCAAAGTCTTGGTCCAGTTCGGTCCGTAGAGCCTGGTGCTCCTGGTACAGGATGGATTCTCTAGTCCCCTCTGTAATAGCGCCCATAGGAGGGCCAGGCAAGGGTGGGCAGAAAGGGACCCCGAGAGAGGCTCCCCACCCGGGGCTGTGCCCCAGAGGTCTAATTTGCCAGTCTCCCCAGAATGCTGCCCTTCCACCCCTTCTCTCATTCCCCTGCCTCCAGCTCTTTGGGGCTGCCGACCCACCACTCCTGGTGCTCACTGGACCTGCAAGAACCACAGAAGGGGAGAGGAACCCTAAAATCTTAAATCTTTTTAATTTTTCACCTCTCTTTGCTTCCAAAAGGAAGAGTGTAACTCCATCACCTGTACATTGTCCGTGGCCCCTGGGCCAGGGCGGGGTCCTAGATGGCCCAGGGGTCCACATGCAGCCCCCTGGGCCGCGGAGGGGCGAGTCCTCGAGCGGCCACCTTATTGCTGAGGCCCGGCACAGGGTGAGTCCCTGGGCACCGTTAGGCGCGCTGGCTGGGCAGCTCCTGGGAGATGAAGCGGCGCAGCCGTTCCAGGTATTCGCTGTGGAGCTCAATGTCGTTGTGCCCGGCGCCCTCTACCCACAGCGGCTCCACGGCCTTGGGGCAGCGCTCATACAGTGCCAGCCCGTGTGAGAAGTCAATCACCTCATCCTCCGTGCCGTGGATGATGAGCACCGGCGACGTGATCTTGGACACCTTCTCGATGCTGGGGGGGTGGGCAGGTTAAGCCACAGCCCCTGGCTAAGGACACCCCGCCTGCCCCCCCACCCACAGGGAGGCCCCGCTCACTTGGGGAATGCATCAAAGCAGTAGGTCTTCTTGGTGTCAGGAAAGGCGACCCGCATGCCCGAGGTGAGCGGCGAGTGCAGCACCACGGCGGCGCACTCGTACCGCGAGGCCAGGTCCACTGTGGGCACCGTGCCGATGCTCTGCCCGTACAGGATGATGCTGTCGGGGCTGATGCCATACCTGGGGGCACAGACAGCAGTGGGGCAGGATCAGCCGAGGCACCAGCTCTGCCCTCCGGTAACTCGATGGCTCCTCCAAGACGCCAAGTAAACACACAGGTGCACACACACACACAAGCACACGCACACGCACACGCACCACACCAGAACAGGCCTCAGGTCCACTCTTCCCTCCTCCCCACACACCTTCAAGTCCTGGGGCAATTTAGGCAGCTGTCACTGGAAGATTCCACCCAGGCTGGGACCCTTGTGCCTCTCCCGTGCCCAACTGGGGCATGGTGGGACACCCTCGAGAACAGAGGCAGGGCTGTGGGAGGTGGAGGTGGATGCCACCCTGAGGATTCTAAGCCTCTGGCCAGGTTCCCACGTGCAGCCTGCCGGCCAAGTTCCCAAATCCAGCACTGTGCTGGCCCGATGCCCCCCCAACCCTGCCCTTGCAGGGTCCCACCACTCTCCTCTCACCCAGAAACTGATCCTGGGTCCTGAACCCGTGGTGGACAGGAGATGGACATCTGGGGAGGCTCCCTTCACTGTTGCCTGGGAGGTCCCTGCACTGGTTCTTGGTACTTGGCCTACACCCCAGCTCCATGGCCACCACTTTGCCCTGTCACCCAGCTTTAAGCAGGAGTTCCCAACTGCCACCTGGATGCACCACAGCCTTCCCCAGGCTTTCACCAGGACTCAGGCCCAAGCTTCCCCATCTCCCACTGCCTCTCCCAGCTGCAGGCTCAGGCCCAGGTCCCAGGAAAACAGTTCTGGCAGCGAGACAGAGGGACAGCGCTCAGGGCCCGCACCCCACACCAGGGTGCAGGTCTACTTGTGCCCCAGGTAGTGGGACAGGCAGCACTGTGCATGCTGAGGCCCTCTCCCTGCAGCAGAGCAGGAAGGGTGCTCACACAGGTCCCCAGGACCAGGACAGTGCCAGGCGACTAGGCAGCCAGGCCTCAGGGAGCCTGCACGGCGCTTCACCATGGCGACCGGCACCGTGTCTACCCAGGGCAACTGGCTTCCCGGGCTGTACCTGGCCCGCAGGGCAGGCCAGACCTTCCATGGGAGCGGGGCTGACACAGAAAGCCCTGCACAGGCACCAAGAGATCCCAGCCCCAGGAGGCCGGGCTGGGCTGCCCTTGGCAGATGCTGGTCAGGGCACACAGCAAGTGTACCACATGGACCCACAGGAAGGTAAGCAGAGGTACTGCCTAAGACCTGGTGGCCAGGAGGGCAGGGACTGGACCAGGGGACCCCATGGCTAAGGGTCTGTGTCACAGCTGGCCACCCACAGGATGGAACCCTCTGGCCCAGCTGAAGGCCCCACCCGTGTGCTGCCCCAGGGTGAGGCCATTCCATAGCCACGCTCCTAGGACCTGGATTCAGTGGCCCAGCCCCACCCTGCACCCCCCAGAAGCTCCCTCTTTCCCTTGTGGACAGCCCGAGTCCTGAGAACCCAGAACCAGCTGCCCTGACCCCAGCCTGGTCTGAAGACCCCTGACTCTACTTCGGCCACAAGGAAGTGGGCATCCACACACCCAGCCCCTGCTGCCCGCACCTGACCCCGCTTGGGATCTGGTGTCAGCTTCTTCCCTCCCCAGCGAAGCTCGGCCGCCTGCCTCGGGACCCCTGCAGCTGTGCCTACCCCTCAGGTGGCCTCACCTGGTGCGCAGGGCCTGCCAGGCGGCATCGATGTCAGCATAGAGGTTCTTCTCGGAGGGCCGGCCGGAGCTGACACCGTAGCCCGAGTAGTCGTAGGAGAAGATGTTGCAGCTGAGGCGGGAGCCCAGGCCAATATAGAAGCTGCTCATCTGGCCGAGGTCCACGGCGTTGCCGTGGGAGAAGAGAACCGTGTACCTGGGGGCACAGGTCAGGGGACGGGAGCACAGGCCTGGCCCAGGAGCTGTCCAGGGCAGAGGACTCAGCACAGTCCCTCCTGGCAGCCAGAGGCTCCCACTGCCTCACCCGCCCGCCCACTCGCACGAGGCCACACAGCCAGTGGGGGGCGGGGTGTACTGGGGGACAGGCGACCAGGGTCCCTTCCACCCAGAGGGGACACTTCTGCTGTGAGACAGGGGCTCTACCTGACCCCAGCAACTGAATGAGGCTAATGCTGTCTGTCCCTGGCGGCCTGTGGCCACCCGAGGCCTGCAGCAGGACTAGGCCCCGCCTGAAGTCAGCCCAAGGACAAGGCCTGGGCCGGCCCTCCCCATGGTCGGCTTCCTGTAGTACCTGGAACCTGGCCAGAAGGTGACAGCCTGCTCTCAAGGATCAGACCCTGTCTGGCAGAGGGAACGCCACCCACTTCAGGCTGGGCGTGGTAGGCAGCCCTGGGGAACAGGCAGGTGGGGTGATCTGAGGTGTCCCCTCCCCTGACCTCTGTGCTCCTGAGTGAGACAGGGTGTCACGGAGGCTGCAAATGGGAGGGGACCAGGCACCTCTTGGCAGCAGGGCACAGGCCTGCTCTTACCTGATCAATCAGACCAAGCGAGGGCGAGGTCAGGTGCCTCACCCCTGCTGGCCACTTGGCCTTTCCACCCCAGCACAGGACCCACAGCACCACCGCCGGTCCCACAAGGGCCCAGTGGGAAGGAGAGCCAGAGAGCAGGGTGCCAGGCGCCCCCTAGCCCCCACCCTGACGCTCACCTGGCCTCAGGCACACAGCGCAAGTACATGCAGGAGATGCGGTTGCCGCGGGCGCTCTTGGTCAGGAAGACCTCGATGGTGTCCAGCTCCCGCTGACCGTACTGGAAGTCAGCGCGCTCCGTCAGGTGGATCTTCCAGCGCCCCGGGGTACCCACAGAGGCCCGCAGGGTCCCTGATGGGGCGGCCCCGGCCCCGCCAGGCGCCGGCTCCGGCTCAGGCAACAGCGAATAGGTGGGCTCAGGCGGCAGGAAGGCGAGCTTGGCAGCGATGCGGCCAGGGCACGGCGGGCAGCAGAAGAGGCAGCAGAGTTCACTCACCGACAGGCCGTTCATGGCGGGCGGGCACTGGGCCGGGCCTCGGACACTCGGCCGCCACCCTCGACAACAGCCCTGTTAGGAGGCTGTGGCCCAGCCCCATCGCAGTCCGAGCCGAGCCCCCAGGAGCCTTGCCGTCACGGGTCTCCATGGTGTGCCTCGGGAAACCCTGTGGGGACCCAGGGCACGTTCCTTCCAGGAAGCTGAGGCCCAGCCCAGGTCCCACCCACTGTGCCAGGTGGGGAGGCATGAGTCCAAGTCCCACCTACACCCACAGCCCCATCTCGTCCTCTCCCGCCCAGACGGCCACACCCTTGACCTCGAAGGCCAGACCTACCCTAGACACAAGGCCCCTCCGTAGCTCCCACCCCCAGGCTTGCCCTCAGCCACTGGTCACTGCACAGAGCAGAGCCATCAGAGCCCTGGCCAGCCCCAGCCTTGCCAGCACATTGCCCCTGCCTTGCGCCCAGGGAGACCCTGTCCCCCCCCAGGGCTCTGTCCACACTGCTGCCCAGACCCATCTCTGCACAATCTTTCAGGGTTGCATTGGCCACCTCTAGGAAGGGGCACAAGATACGGACTGAAGGGACTCAGGCACCCAGGCCTGCCCTCTCCTGCAGCATGGCGCCACATGCTCACAGGGCAGCAGGAGACAGAGCTGCCCACAGCGGAAATACAGCAAACAAAGGCTCCTGAAACAAAGGCAGGATACATCTTGGCCTGGGAAGGCCCCAGTGAGCCTGGACAATGGCTCTTCCCGGTGCTTGGGGCAGGCAGAGTGAGGGCCGCGGTCAAACCAGCAGCTCAGACCTGCTGCTTCAATGCTGCAGCCTGGGGCCTCCGTGAGCCTCCTGGGCCTCAGTGTCCCCATCCACGAGTGTGAGTGCCACTCTGAACTGGAGCAGAGAACACCCAGGCTCACAGACACAGCACTGAAGGACCTGCTGCAGGACAGAGGGCCCCAGAACTACAGGTCTGCAAATGTGCACCCTCCAGACCTCAAATGTGAGGCTCAGGGCTGGAGAGAGACACAGCCCCGTCCCCCAGACCCAGGAGCACGCAGGGAGGGGCACTGGGAAAGCCCGAGCAGGGCTAAGGATGGGGCCAAGGAGGCGCAAACTCCCATGTGGGTTGCAGATCTCATGTGCAGAACTTTTTGGTTCTCAAACAGATCTGGTCCTGCCCCCTCGGGGACTTGGCAATGTCTGGCAACCATTTGTGACAGTTACAATTGAGGACACGGAGTATGAGCACAGGGTTGCTTCTTCACAAATGGGTCCAACAGGGAATGACCTGGCCCCGAATCTCCAGTGTCACAGTTGAGAAAAGTCAGCTTCAAGCTACTCACAAAGGAGCCAGGTGTCCTGGTGCACACCTGTAATCCCTGCGCTCAGGAGGCTGAGGCAGGAGGATCACTTTGAGTTTATGGTCAGCCTAGGCTACATAGTGAACTCAAGGCCACACTGAACTACATAGTGACATCCTGTCTCAAAAATAAACAAACACAGACACATATAAACTCAAAACAAAATACTCCCAAAGGCATCTGGGCCCTGTAGGTAAGGCTGGCTGGCTGGGGCTAGGAGGACTCTGTGGTCTGGACAGAAGGCCCAGCAGACCACCCATGAGGGTGATAAAGAGGTTCCTGACTCCCTGGAAAATGACAATCTTGGACAAAGCCCCATGGTCACAGCTAGAAACACAGGTGTCATCCATGATGCCCCCCTGCCACCCTCCAGGTCCAATCCAATCCATGTCCAGACCTGCTGCTGGCTCTACCTGTTTGCCACAACCTGGTCCCTGCCTCTGTCACCTTTCTCTGCCCTGCAGCAACAGTCTCCTCCTCCCTTGGGATTTTCACTCCTCAGCAAGCATCAGTTCCCTCCAAGCTACCATACTCAGCAGACAGCTTCCACAGTGCTAATCTGATGGTCCCGCTGCCTCCCACACAGGGTGTCCCCATCGCCTCCCACTATTCCCAGAAGATTCCCTCCCTTGCCACAGCCTTCCAGGCCTACAGCCAGGTTCAAACAGGCTCTTGGCCTAGCACTGCTCCTTCCTGATTCTGACTGCCTCAGTGTTCTGCTGAGAACCTCCCCAGCTACCTGGCTGGTCCTACTTTCCCATCCTATCCCCAGTCAGACCTCACTGCCCCTTACCCTTGGGCCTTTAAAGGGGTTTATGTGCTTAATGGAATCTCCACCCCTCAACTACAACCCCATGTGAGCAGGTCCAGTAGGTTTGTGCTTCTGCACGACCCTCGGCCGAGAGGATGGGTAAGGGGTGTGACAAAAGGGGAAGAGCGATTGGGGTCCGCCAGGGCATCCTCCCTGGGACCTGCCACCTGTCACTGACAGGTCCAAATGGAAAGCACACACCAGGGCAGCTCTTTCTACTGCGCACCCACGTTGGTACCCAGAACTCAAACACTGCAACCACAAGCTCACAACTCCGCAGCCCTCAGCCAACTCCCGGTGGGCCTTGGTATTAAAAGGCCCAAGAAGCAGCCGAATACATTCGAAACGACCTACTTAGGACTGCCGCCCATGGCACCTCACCCAGCCAGTCAATCTGCTTGCAGGAAGGTACCGAGAAAAGTGGCCAGGTGGCAGCGAGTTCCAGGAACTGCAGGCGCCGGGCTAGCACTGTGTGTAGCAGAAAGAAGGGTCGCAGAGAGAGGCAGGGCCATGAGCCCAGCTGCGGAGTGGAAACCAAAAATGAGGAGCTGCGGACAGAATCCTAACTACACCAGGAGGACAGCTGGGGCGGGAAGGCCTCTCGGGGGTCCCGCCGGCAGCAAGACGCCTGACGCTGGCCGTGGAGGCACGAGACGGAGACTCCGGTTAAAAGGCCGGGGCAGGATCCGCAGCAGAAGCGGAGTCCGCGCCCGGCTGGGCACTATCCACGGCGGGTCCGCGGCCCCTAGTAAGCGGGGGATTGCTCCATGCAGAAAGCTGGGTGGACGGCGGACAGGGTTTCAACCCGGGTCCGCAATGCTGGCCTGCGGTCCCCATCCCAGGTCCGGGATCTCCGGACAGGACCGCAACCGCCCGGGAGTACGAAGGTCTCAGGAGCGTCCGATCCGACTGCCCCAGCCGCGCGGCCTAGCCAAGCTCCCCAAACCGCCAAGGCCCGCACACAGGACGTCCCTTCCGCCCCTGCCCCGCACTCACCTCCCCAGCCCGCGCCCCCCGGCCCCGGGGCCGCGCTCCATGGCTCCCGTCCGCCCGCCCTAGAGTCCGTCGATCCCCGGGCGTCCGGGCCCAGCCTCCTGCGCCGCTGATACAGCCGCCGCCTCTTCCCTGCGGGCGGAAGTGTGCCTCGCTCTTGGCACCGCCCCGGAAGTGACGCATGGGGCGCGGAGGCCAAGGCCTTCAGCGCGTTCGGATAGGGGCGGGGCAAGGTCTGGGGGCGGGGCTAGGTCTGGGGCGGGGCTTGGGAACCAGCGCCAAGAGTATTTGGTTCCGTCAATGGTTATATTGGATTTTGGGGGTTGCTTTGCTTTTTTGTTGTTGTTGTTATTTTATTATCTTCTCCCTTTTTCATTTTTTTTTCAAAATCTTTTCACTGAGCTGCATTCCCAGCCCTTTTTAGAGTTTTTTATGTTGAAAATCGCTAACTCGCCCAGGCTGGACTCGAATTTGTGATCCTCCTGCCTCAGCCTCTCAGAGGGTTGGGATTACAGTGAGCCACCATGCTGGGCTCTCTCTCCCTCTCTCTCATTCTCCCTCTCTCTCTTTTTTTTTTTTTTTTTGGTACCACAGATCAAACTCATGACCTCACATTTTCCAGGCAGGCACTTATGCCCCTGAGCTAAATCCCCAGTCCCTTGACTGTATCTTTTTTTAACCTTTTTATTTCTTTTTGTTTTGTTGGTGTGTGTGTGTGTGTGTGTGTGAGAGAGAGAGAGAGAGAGAGAGAGAGAGATAAGGTCTCGCTGTATAGACCCGGCTGAGCCCCAACTCACAGCAGTCCTCCTGCTTCAGTCTTCCCAGTGATGGGATTACAGGGAAACACCTCCACATCTGGCCTCTTTTTGTTATGCACGGTGGCGGTGGTCTTGGAGGTTTTTTGAGACAGGTTCACACAGGCTGGCCTCGAGCTCACTGTGTACCTGAAGCTGGCTTTAAACGCATCACGATCCACCTGTGACAGCCTCTCAAATTCTGGAATTACAAGCATAGCCCCCATGCTGGCTGCATCATGATTTTTTTTTTTTTTTTTATCGGTACCAGGGATCAACCTCACGACTGCCTGCTTGCCAAGGCAGGCGCTTATGCCACTGAGCTAAATCCCCAGCCCCATGATTATTTTTTTTACATTATTTTTGTAAGTTGCCAAAGTAGGAGGCAGGGGCCGACTGCCTGTTCTCTTTTCTTTTGGGTACTGGGGATGGAACTCGCACTTGCCAGTCAGGTGCTAAGGCCGCTGAGCTGAACCCGCAGCCCCTGACTGCCTGTTCTTACAGTTTTAACTTAATTAGTGGAGATGGAGGTGTAAGGCAGTGACCCAGGGCATTCTTGGTTAAAGACCAGGCAGCCAAGCTCTCGGCTCCATTCCTGGCACCAGATTAAATAAAGTATTATTGGAACCTGGGACCTGGGAAAAGAGAAAGAAAGATGATATATACAAGTGTATATGCAAGATGATATATACAAGTGTAGGACTCCATCCTGTCTTTATTTAAAATCTTGATACCTGGGGCTGGGGATTTAGCTCAGTGGCATAAGCACCTGCCTTGCAAGTGTGTGGTCATGAGTTCAATCCCCGGTACCGATAAAAATGAAAAAGACAAAAAAAAAATCTTGATACCTTGTTTATGATGAGTTTTTTGTTGTTGTTTTGTTTTTCTGTACTAAGGATTGAACCCAGGGGTACATCACCACTGAGCAAACATCCACAGCTCTTCTACTTAATTATTTATTATTTGCTTGTTTGGTGTGGAATTGAACTGAAGACCTTATGCTTGGCAGGCACTTATGCTGCTGAGCTGTACCCCCAGCCTGCTTGGTTTAGTTTTTTGTTTGTTTTGGTTTTTTGGTACTGGAGATCAAAGTTACAACCTTGATCCTGCCAAGCAGGTGTTTATGCCACTGAGCCAAACCTCTAGTTTAGTTTAGTTTGTTTGTTTGTTTGTTTGTTTGTTTATTTTGATGCTGGGAATCAAACTCAGGACCTCAAGCCTGCCAGCCAGGCACTTATGCCCCTGAGCTATATCCCTAGCCCCTTAGTTTAGTTTTTGAGACAATTATGTAGCTCAGGCTGGCTTTGAACTCTATATAGCTGACTCAAATTTGCAGGAATTCTCCTGCCTCAGCCTTCTGAATGCTAGAATTTCAGGTATGAACCCCTATGCCTAGTCTGTGTTTCATTTTGAAATAAGATCTTGTTAAATCACTCAGACAGGACACGAACTTGTGATCTTGTTCCCTCAGCTTCCTTCAGCACTGTGATCACAGTTACAGATGCAGCCACCAGGCCCAAAGATTTTTTGTGGGGGGGGGGGCACTGGGATTGAACCCAGGACCTTGTACATGCAAAGCAAGAACTCTGCCACTGAGCCATATCCCCAGCCCTATTTGTGTTATTTTTAAAATACTGCATTAATTTTTTTGTCTTGTGTGTGTGTGTGTGTGTGTGTGTGTGTGTTTCGTTTTTATCGGTACCAGGGATCGAACTCACAACTGCCTGCTTGCAAGGCAGGCGCTTATGCCGCTGAGCTAAATCCCCAGCCCCAAATATTGCATTAATTATTAATCCTGATAGCTGAAATTTGGCACCTGAGACAAACACCAGGCCCTGCCAGGCCTGCACCCCAAGGCTGCACCTCTTTCCCAGCAGCTCCAGTCTCTTCCAGCTCTCCACCCGCCCCACCCTTGCAGGTGGCTGGAGCCCCGCCTATCCCAGGAGCACTGATCTCCGGGTCCCACTTTCAGCAGATAAGCTCGGGGATCATAGGTAGACCAACCCCACCCTCCCAGCCACATTCCTGGAAGTGGCGAATGAGCTGCTGAACGACATTGGGGCTCAGGAATTCAGACCCTCCCTGGGTGGATTGGGGCCACTTTATGGCTCCCCGGGTGTGGTCCCATCTCTGGCCCCCACTCTGGCTGCCCTGCCCAGGGTTTCCTGCTGCCTAAAAGCTCCCCCTGTCTGCTGGCCACAACCTTCCAGGAGAGGGGTGCTGGGGATTTAAACCAGAGCCTTCACACTGAGCTCCATCCCCAACCCCTTTCTGGTTTTTTTTCCGAGACACAGTCTTGCTAAATGGCCCCAACTGGGCTCAGGTTTGCTTGAGGTCTTCCCGCCTCGGCCTCCCACAGTGCTGGGATTTCAGGCTTTCATACCCAAGCAGCTGTGCTAAACCTCTGGAGGTTCCTTGGGATTAAGAATCTTCCCACAAGGTTGGAATCCTGCCAACTACCTGTTCAAAAAAAAAAAAAGAATCTTCCCAGGTGCAAAGGTCAAAGCAGTTCCTCTGGACTTCCTTGAACACAGGACAGGCGGCCTCTCAGTCAGCCCTGTTTTTCTCTCCACCCTCTCTCACCCAGAGCTAGGAGGAGCCAGGGCTGGACACACCAGAAAGCCCAGCTCAACCTGTAGTAATTTGCTCCCCAGGAGGAGCGCAGGGAGCCCCTATAAAGGGCAGGAACCCAGGAGGAGGTGGCAATGAAGTTTTGTTTTCCAGCCAAACAAGGTGCTCCAGGGTTCTCAGGAAAAGCCAAAGCCCCCGCAGAAACACCATGTCCTGCGGTTTTTCTTCCCTAAACATCCTGTGAGAGCCAGGCCTGGTAACACACACCCATCAGCTCGGTACTTTGGGAAGCTGAGGCAGGAAGATGACATGTTCGAGCTCAGCCTGGGCATTTTAGCAAGAGCATGTGTCAAAATAAGAACTACAAAGGATTGTGGATGGGGTTCAGTCCAGAGGCCCTGCTTCGATCCATTGTCTTGAAAATCAAAACAAATCAAGGCCCAAGCCCTGAAGATGGAGAGCTGGCACACATTTGCGATCACGGTACTAGGGAGGCTGAGGCAGAAGGATTGCCAGCAGCCCAAGGCCAGCCCAGGTTACAAAGCAAGACTGGTCTCAAAAAAAAAAAAAAAAAATAGAAACAAAGGGCCGGGGACTTGGCACGAGCACCTGCCTGGCAAACACGAGGTCCCTGGTACAAAAAAAAAAAAAAAAAAAAAAAACAGAAATAGAAACAAAAAAGAAAAATAAGAGAAAAGAAAAGAAAAATAAGAAAGTTGGGGCTGGGGATTTAGCTCAGCGGCATAAGCGCCTGCCTTGCAAGCAGGCAGTCGTGAGTTCGATCCCTGGTACCGATAAAAAAACGAAAAAGACTAAAAAAGAAAAAAAAAAAAAAAGAAAAGAAACATAAGAAAGAAAGAAAAGAAAACACAATCACAACCACACACATACAAAAATTGTAGAGCGACCAGGCACAGGACAAAGCTATCTGCCTAGACATTGGTTATGGCAGGACTGTCCTCCAGAGAGAGACGGCTGACTCACCTGTGCCCAGGTTCCAGGACAAGATTTGCGGGGCGTTAAGAGGATCCACCCTGGGCAATAGACAGGTGTGGAGGCCACAGCGTCCCTGGAGGCTGGGACAGAACAAAAAGGAGAGGAAAGGTAAACCACCACTGTCTCTGTCTCTGTCTCTGTCTCTGTCTCTGTCTCTGGGCCAGGACTTCCAGCCTCGACTGTGGGATATTAGTGACCCTGGTCCTTAGGTTTTCAGACTTAAACCTGGACGTAGGACCTAACTATCAGTCCTCAGTTCTCCTTTGAGTCCGCTGAACTGTGCCATCTTTCCTGCTGATTGGCAGCTTGCCCTGGGCAAACCTGGGTGTCCAGGCCTTCATGATCACTTGAGTCCATTCCCATGATATATATATATTTTTTGATGTTTATGTTTTACTAAAGAACCCTGACCTAGTTCAAAATCAAAAGGTTTCCAGGTTAAAAAAAAAAAAAAAAAAAAAAAAGGTTGCCAGGTATGGTGGCACACACCTGTCGTCCCAGGACTCAGGAGGCTGAGGCAGGAGGATTGTCATGAGTTCAAAGCCAGCCCGAACAGCAAGATCCTCTCTTAAAAAAAAAAAAAAAGAAATCGGGCCTATGGGCCCGTGTTCCGCTCTAGTGGTGGTCGTGGGACGGAAGGAGGCAGCAGTCATGGCGATGCCTTAGCAAATGTTTGTGTGCCTGGGTGCCACCCCGAGGACCTGACCACCCTGGAGTACTATGTGGAGAAGGGCCAAGAAACCAGAATACACGACCAGAAAGCCACCCTGGCTGTTTCCGGCAGCCCAGGATGAAAATATGGACCTCCTTGAAGGTAT